ACACACAGACACACACACACACACACACAGATACACACACTCAGCTGAGCTGCGTCCTTCCCACAGCCTCGTTCTCTCTGAATAATGGGAAACCTCGTCTCTGACGGGGACACGAGCGCCGGCTCTGCGTCTGAGTTTTTAGCGTAACTTCAGAGAGTGAAGCTCTTCGTGGTCAAACGGGACCTTCACTGAAACACTGAGCAGTAAAATCCATGTTGTGTTCGGCAGCCGTGATCCTGACAGGACCTCGGTGCTTGTTTCAGGACTCGATATCGTTTTGGTCACAGATTATGAAACTGCATCAGAGGAAGCATCAGTTCCTGATTAGAAACACTTGAGCAGTAGTTTGAGTGTGCTCTGTCACAGGGGATGGTTTCCACCCTCACAAGCTTCTCGGGGGTCCTTACCCACTCCCACTCTGTAGCCATCCTGTGTGTTTGCATTAGGATCTTCCAGCGGTTGCCCTCCAGAGTCCCGGGGCTCCCTGAGAGCAGTAAAACTGAGTTTCTGTCTTTTGGTGGTTCAGACTCAGGTCTTTAGACCTTAATATTAAGTAAAAATCCAGATGTTGCTTTAGGCGATGCTTCGTCCTGATGTGACAGATCAGCTGACCTGATGCTTCAAAGCACAGCTTCATATCAGGTCGCCAGTTTGACCAGTCAGCTGAAGGTTTTTCAGACCCCAGCCTGGTAAGAAAAGTGTGAGCCAGGATATTTTGTGGTGGTGTTTGTGGGGCAGCAGACGCACAGAGACAGACCTGAGTTCAGTCTTCAGGGTTTAATTTTAAAAGTGTTTGTTTGTCTTCTCGGGTTTGGCCTGCAGGAAGTCGCGTGATCAACGGTTTGCGCGGCGCCCTGACAGTTTCCACTGTCGCTCTGCAGCTCATTGTTAACACGCCGTGTGTAGTGGAAACTTGTGTGCGCGGGTTCCTGCTGCGGTGAGGCGTGTCGCAGGGTGTTGCATCGCTGCAGTGACCAGCGGCTGCAGGACGACCTCAGCTTTTATCTTCACAGGGCAAACTTCCTGTTTCTGTTCTTTCCAAACAGGAAGTAGCTGCCGTTTGGGCAGCAGCGAGCCTCGCACGTCTCAGCTCAGGACCCTGAAACAGCTCTTTATTTAGTGTTTTTAACTTTGCTTGTGGGTTTCTATTTGTCTTTGCAATCAGCCCCGTCTTCCCTTTTTCTTTTCGGGACACGTTGACGTGTATCCGTCCACAAACAGGAAGCTGATGTCAGACACAGTCTGTGGCCCGCAGGTCAGAGAAACCTGCAGCTGAACACAAATATGTTCGTGCTGCATCGTAACGACTCAACCTCAGAGTCTTTACTTTGTCTGATTGTGCTGCACGACTGCGAGTTAGCCGGCGTCTGGTGAAAGGGTTCAGTTCATGACCTGCTATTATGACTGTTGCTTCGTCAGAGGCGAGGACGTCGGTAAATATAAAGAGTGTTTCTCCATAAGCAGTGTGTACGGGAGCTGAGAGGGCGGAGCTCCGTCACTCTGTCCTGAACCACACAGCTGTGGACGAGCTGGTCCCAGCTGCTGTCCATGCTGGACAGTCACGCTTTGTCTGTCCACAGGACTCTGTTTCAGAAGGCTTTCTCACGCAGCCTGTCCAAACCACCGCACGTGCTCAGTCTGTACCTACATGAACTTTAACCTTTAACCTGTGAACCGAGGTCGTAGAGTCTCGGTTCACAGGTTAGTCCAGGATAAACAGGTGACTCACAGTAAAGACCAGTGTGTGACTGGTGCACAGTGGCTGTGGGTTCATGGTCACAGTTAGCTCAGAGATTCACTGAGTGAACTCCACCTTCCTAGTGTCTGATATAAAGACAGCATCAGCAGTGTCAGTGTGGAGGATGGACTCAGCTAGGACAGCTCAGGAAACATCTGCTCACATCTGGATGGATCCAGGTGTGTACGTCCAGAGAGAGCAGCAGGTCAGCTGATCCTCAGAACGTCTCCTGGAGCTCTGATTGTTCTCCCCACACGAAGCCCCTGTAACCCCCGACCCCACACGCTGACCTGTTCAGGCTCAAAGGCCCCCTCACATTTTTATTGTCCTGCTTTTTCTGCTCAGCTTCCACAGAAATGATTCAACCTGAGAAATTTTTTATCAGAATTAATATTTAGACTGAAGTTTGTGTTCCCATCTCCCAATATTATTGATTATCACATTCATATATCACAGGCTTCAGCTGGTAGAAGCTACTTTACTCTGAGTACTTTTCGGAGCTGGTACTTTATTACTTTGGCTGGAGTGAAGACACTGTGCACTTCACTTTAGATGAAGCACAGTCATGAAGACGCGTGAGGAAGTGTTTCAGCTGCGTCTCTGTGAGAATCAGACAGGTTCATGTTTGTCTCTCAGACGACGCTGAAGGCCTGATGTTTCTGTGCTGATGGTTCATAAGGTCACGTTTCTCACAAAGACATCGTTAACGCGAGGCCTGACCTCGGCCGCTTCAGCGGTGGCTTGTTGCTCCGCCCATGAGCAGAAATAGAAATGCAATCAGAGGACAGCGCCGTCACTAGTTTTACACCTGCTGTTTCTATTTTTTCTCAGCTGGTTTCCACTTGAGCTGTCGATGAGGTTAACGGTTTCTTTTTAGCTGGTGGTGAATGAAGTGCTGAGGTAAACCAGCGGCCTGAACTGTGCCGACGTTTACACGCGGTAAAACCTCCACGCACTGAAAGGGCTCCTTACTGTCCCGTCGTCCTCCGAGGCACAAAGAGACGTTGTTAACGTTCGACTCGTGATGGAGCGCCGAGCTGGAAGCTGCTCTGAGCAGCGTCTGTCAGCTGGTCTTTATCTGCGCTGTGCATGCTGGTGTGACTGTTGTGGCGTGTGTGTGCGGCCATGTGACCCGAGCGCTTTCTGAGATTCGAAACTACCAAAACTCTTTTCCTCATCCCAGCTAACGTCTCTCACTGCTAGCATGCCCGCTAAAGAGACCTGAATGAAGCTCTTGCTGTCTGTACGCCCCCTAGTGTCCAAACGTGCAGCTACAGAAGGAATAAATGGCTTCCACGTGTTAGTGCAGCTGCCCCTGACCGCGCTGCTGTTTCTCTTGGAAGCTTTTTAATCTCCACGGTCAGATTATCGCCGCAGAAAAGTCTAAATAATGTGTTTGGGTTCAGCGTGGGCACGGCTGACATAAGGACAATGAGGCAATTAAAGCACTTTTGCACAGTTTGGACATTTCCAACATTTGCTAGCTCATCCATCCACCCCAAGCTCCTCCTCACACCTCCACCGGCCCGGCTTCGTGTCCAGTCCAGTTGAATTCTTCCAGCTTTTCCTCACGTTTCCAGTTGGAATAACTGACTAATCTGAGTGAACGACGGTCATTACAATGTCTCACTGTCTCACTGAGTCACAGTCCCTAAGCTGTCTCTGGGTTTCCAGCGTCTGTCCTGAGCGAGTCGCTCGTGTTCATGTGTTTCGTGTCTCTGCAGACGAGGTGATCTCAGGGTGAGTCGGTCAGAGACGCCGAGGTATCTGAGCCACATCTGGATCTATGAGCTCGAAATGCAGAGCACGAGGGCAGCTGCAAGTGTCATTTCCCCCTGTCGAGCATATTTTTAGCTTCATAGCCGAGTGTGACACTTCCTGTTAGTCTCATCAGTAACACCGCTCTGCATCAGGGCGCCTTGCTTCAGTACAGCCTACAGTAAATAAAAGTTATGTTACGATCTTCAAACGCGCGGCGGTTTGGATCAACAACAGAGACAGGAAGTAACATTTTATAAGCCGGGAGTATAAATAGCACTTCACAGCTGCGGCAGTTTTACCACATTTGGAGCATTTTGTGTAACTCTGAGGTCGTAATGAACACCTCCTGTAGTTGCTACTGTTGTCCCACATCCTCCAACACCTGCAGCACACACACGAACACACATGAACACCCACACGTGTGTACGTGTGTCCTTGTGGGGACGTGCGTAGGTTTTCGACCATGTGAGGACCCACCGTTGGATCTTCGCCCTGTTTTACGGGTCAGGCGGGGTTTTCCGGTTTGATTGGATCAGATGTTTGTTCTGGAGCAGTTTAACGAGCGCTGCTGCTGAAGTAGACCTGCGAGCGTGTGTGGTTTCCTCTGGGAGCATCAGCTGCAGGTCAACAGCTGAATGTAAAAGTTCTGCTGCCAGAGGCAGCGTCGTCGCTCAGATAAAAAGATCACATCTGCTTTTTAGTTCATGTTGTGAAAGATTCTTTCTTCATTTTCAATAATCTGCAGCTCAGCCACAAGAAACACAAACAATCCGCTCATCATCGTTAAAAACACGCGTGTGTTTCATGCAGCCAAAGACGATTTATTATTTACTCACAACATCATTTCTATCGAGACGTGAAACCACGAGAAGCCGCAGCACGTTCGCAGAGTTGGGCCTCAGTGATAACAACATCCTCTCTGATCAGAGCCGCCCTCATCAATTAGTCCAGGATCAAAATAATCCTTCTTTGTCTGATACCTCATCCTCATTTCACTCTAATCTATAAGTAATCAATACTCAATGATCTCTGTGTTTCTGCAGACTAACTGAATAATAACTGTGTGTGTGCGTCAGTGCGTGACTTCAGGGTGTCCATTCGGAGGACGGAGGCGTCTGATCGCTGCAGGCTGAAGGGGGACGGCGTCCTGCGAGCTGGCATGGACGCTCTGCACCTGCTGGACAAGGGAGGGGACATCGTGTACACCTGGCCGTACAGATACCTGCGGCGCTTTGGGCGCGACAAGGTGTGACACACTTTCAGAATAAAACCAGGATTCTCAGCAGACTTCACAGCAGGATGTTTCTGGGCTGAAGTAAAGAGATTACGTGTGCTGGTTTGTTGTGACCGGACTCGTTTCCGGTTCTTTGCTGACACGGTCGCAGCTTCTCGGCTGCAGGAAACCGTCTGACACGTCCTGCTGTAAGATGTCATGACGCCGTGTTGGCTCGTCAGCCTGTGTGAGCGTCTCTGGCTTTCTGCTTTCTTTAGGCCACTTTCTCCTTCGAGGCGGGTCGGCGCTGCGACTCCGGCGAAGGGAACTTTGAGTTCGACACCAAACAGGGGAACGTCCTTTTCCAGGCCGTGGAAGCTGCCATCAACCTGCAGAAGGTCGCCCCTCCCCACAGACAGACCTCCGGGGGGGGCCAGGCGAGTCCAGACACCACCCAGAGCTTCAGCTTGCCCCCCCCACCGCACAGCCTGCCGCTGGCCCAGAGCAGGACGCTGCCTCAGTCCCGCAGCCAGATGCCCCCGGCCGCTCAGGTGAGCCCACACCTCAGCTCCTGAACGTTCAGAGCTCGGGTACGACTGAGCCCGCTTAAAACATCCCGCCTTCTCTCTGCAGGCAGCGGACGACGTGTACAGCATGGTGAGCGAGCCGCCGAACCTCCAGATGATTCATCACATCGACAAAGAGAGCTGCAACGCCTCACAGCAACAGCAGCAGCGCCCCCAGATGGTAAGAAATGGAACAGAGGCCAAACCAGTAAAATCAGAAAGAAGAGCGTCTGTAAGGAATCCGAGGGGCGAGTGTTTCATGGTTAAAGAACAAAGCAGCTGAAGCGAAACTGTGATTTCTTTGCTGACGATCGGATAAAGTCAAACGTCTTCACATCCTTTATTTAAGCAGCTGTAAACGAGAAAAGCTGAAATAATTAGGATGTGGCTCAACAACAACGCTTACCTGTGCTTACACCAGCTTATTAAAACATATCATGATAAGCTGGTGTGAGCACAGGTAAGCGTAGCTTGCAGGGCCGTGAGCGACCCTTCACCGACCGTCCCCCTAACGCTTGTCACAGCCTCCCTCATACTCCATCTTTCCCCCACGCCTTGTCCTTCATTTGAAGGCGGAGCCAGAAGCTCCCTTGCCCTGGGTCTTTTTAAGGGTTTCATCAGCCGCAGCCCGATGTCGTCCTCCCACAGGAAGGTTCGGACTTCCGGCGTAGGGTTACCTGATGATCTCAGTGGGAGATCAGAGACAAGAGGGAGCGCATTGCACCGGTACTGCGCTGTGCTCCACCCCCCACCCCATCCCCGCCTCTGGGGCAATGGGAACCAGTTTACCTCTGCTCACACCGGAGCTGGTCCTGAATATGTTTTTAGTTCCTGAGGAAATGATGAGGTCGCAGTCGCTCCGAGGCAGTGGGAACAGGAACTGACTCCATTTATTAAATAATACAACAAACCGCTCTACTGATAAACATCCCAGGATATGACACAAAGAAATAGGAGGGGCCTCTTTTCAAACCGGCGAGCAGGCCGAGGGCCGTCGGTGTTTCACACAAGCCAATAATCTTTGGCGCTCGTGTGTTTTCTCAGTATTTGGTTGGACTGATGTATTTTTATTGTCCTTGGCGCCAAACCTCAGCTTTTGCCTTTGACTCGCTTACGATGACTCTCGACTCCTCAGTAAAGTCGAGGTTCAGAGTTCATATGATTCAAATAGTTTCCACAGTCACACGTGTCGTCATTTTGTTCTACAAGCAGCTTGAAATATGTTCAGAGAAGAAGAACGAGGGCGGCTGCCAGCAGCTGCTCCATCAGCTGGAAGGTGGAGGCACAGTGTTTCTGCCAGGTGAGTGCCACAGCTGTGAGGAGTGCTCACGTGATGCTTCGATGTTCACATCGTGCTCCGTCCTGATTGTCTGTCAGAACTTGTTTGCTCGAGCTTCTTATTTGACACCCTTAGCTGATGACCAATGACATCATTCAATCGCGACGCCGTTCAGTCACTGTTTGATTCAATGATGATGAAAGCGAACGCGTGATACTGACCCACTTCCTGTCCTGTTCTCAGTGTCGTCTCGAGCCTCCGGTGGATAAAACTCTGACCGGAGTGAAGAGTTTGAACCTGGACTCTCGCCTCCCCGCCCCTCGAAAGAATCAGGTCAAGATGATCTCCAGCTGCCCCCTGCCCAACGCCAGCCCCGACTCCAGCCCTAATCTGAACACCGGCCCCACCCCCGGCTCGGTCCCCAACCCCCGCCTCAGCCCCAAGCCGAGCGCCAAGCCGGAGCAGACGTACTCGCAGATCACCATGTCAACCGAGAGAGGCACCAAGAGGGAGAAGAGGAGCGCCAACGTGGCGGCGCCCTGCACCGGCAGCGAAGCAGACTACTCGCTGCCCTTCGACACCATCGCCAAGAACGTCCTGACCGACATCCTGAACTCTCACCGTACAGACAGCGGCCATGCGGGCGCCGACCCGCTGTACGACAGCATTGACGAGATGAAGATCAGGAACGTCTTCACGAGCGACGGTGACACCGTCAAGACGTTGGACCACATCTATGACGAGCCCGAAGGCTGCGCTGCCGCCGCCGCCAAAGGACAGAAATCCACCCTCTCCACCTCGGTGTACGACGACCCCGAGGAGATGAGAGGAGATGCCTGGAGGATTATGGGTACAGCTGCTGACCCCAAAGGTCACGAGTACCCGTATAACCCCCGAGTCGATGACTACGCCGTGCCCAAACAAGCCCAGAGGGCGTTTCCCAAATCACAAAGCAGCAACGAAGAAGCAGAAGAAGAAGCAGAAGAAGAAGCGGACGAGGAGAGTGAGGAGCCTGGATTAAGGGAGGAGCTTAGAGAGCAGCGCCAGGATTCGCCGTACAACAACGTGATGGTGAAAATGGCGTAGAAGAGAACCGAGCACCGAAGTTAGTTTTAAAGAATTATTTATAAGTTGTAACTTTGAGTTTGGTTGATCGATGTCTCCTTAAGGCACTTTGTAAAGTTTAACTGAGCTCAGTGGCAGCGAGAGCTAACGGGCGCTGTCGGCGCCACCTGCTGGTTCTTACTCGCTTTCTTCAGTTTTATTGCTTTTACCTTGAATGTGGGCGCAGCTGTGATGATGTTACTGGAAACGTGTCGCATGTTCATGTGTTGCAACACGTGCAGCTGTGTTACTGTGAGGACAATAAAGTCAAACTGTAGCGTCTGTGTCATGACTCAGACTTTCATCCTGACTTCACACATTTACACGCAACGCACAACTAAGTAAAATCATACAAAACTGTGGCATTTGGTAAATATAATAATGAACGTAAATTCACTGTGTCATTGAGTAACTTTATTAGCAGCATCCTCCTGAAATGTGCCAACAACATTGAGAGTAACGTCCTCCTCTCTGCCCCTTAATGCCCTTTGGTTGCTATGGTAACGCCTAAACATTTCTTTCAAAATAAAGGGATGTCCAAATTCATGTGCTGCATCCTCTTTTTTTATTTTTATTTGAACAATTGAACAACAAGTACACAGGTGTACAAATACGAGCAGGAAAGCAAAAAATATATACTTTAGGAGAAAACACACGATTAAAAGAAGGAAGAGGTGCTCGAGATATAAAACAACATATAAATCAAGTGAAACTGCACGCTCGACACAGCTCGTGTTTTACATGCTTTGGAGTCATTGCTGTTCTTTAGATTCTCTAGATAATTGGAGAACAAGGCTTTAAAAACAAAGATGTTTGGACGCTGCTGTGAAAATTTAGTACAATGAATGTCAGATTTGGCAGAAATAATCAGAAGATTGATAATATATCTTTTTTGGAATTATTTTGTCATGTGAGAGGCCAAAGAGAATATGTTGAAACGTCAGGTTACACGAGGGATCAATTTTGGTGTTTATAAAATTATTTAGATCAATCCAGAGTACACGTGTATGCGTGCATTCCCAAAATACCTGACATACTGTTTCCTCTGCAAACCGTACAAAGAGTATCAATATTTTTCTTACATTTAACCAGATCTGTCTTTACCGGATAACATCTCTGGATCAACTTAAGAGTAACGTCTCTGACCTTAGTAGTGATGATAAATGTCCTTGATAGAATCCAAGTGTTTTTCAGTCTATGTCATTGTAAATATTGTCCCAGTAAAATACAGCTGCAGGTCTGGAAACAACATCTCTTTGAATGATTTGTCTAATACATTGATTTGTAGCTTTATCGCTCAATAAAGGACAGATGTTACCGATGTACATGCTAGCAGGAGTTAGTTAATACAGTTTCTGCCTTTAGGAGCAGAAACCAACAACCTTCCCACCTCACCTGGTATCGCATCAAAAACGACAGCATGTTCTCTTGGAGCGACAGGAAAATCATAAACAGACAAAAAGTCCTTATAAGAAAATAATTGACCTTTAGCGTTCAGTAACTGACTCACAACTAAAATATTTCTATCAACCATCTCTGAATATATAATGATTTGTTCTTAAATGTGATATCCTGATTGTTCCAAATGAGATATTTATGGGAGAAAAGTTGTGAGAGCGTATGATTAACCAAGATGAGCAGAGCTGACTGTGAGAGTTTAAATTAGAGATATTGTAATTGCATCGTAGCAGAAAGTGCATTCACTCCTCCAAGTGAGTTAAAGATGTGTTTGGTAATAAAATTCCAAATTGAACTGGGATTTTTAAAAAGTTTGATCCATTTGATTTTAAAAGACGCATTTAGGGAAGTGAAATCTAAATAATTTAGGCACCAGAACACAAACTGTTTATCATTACATTTGTTTCTCTTTTTCCAAATGAAGTTTAATAATATTTTATCAGTTTTTCTGCATAATTCTCTGGAAACATAAAGCGCCACAGCTGCATAAGTAAGTCTGGAGAGGCTTCAGCTTTGGCTGCCAAGGATCCCCCAGTGATGTGTCACAGTGTGCCGAGGCAAACTGCGTGGAGTGGGAGTGGACCCGGGTGCAGACACTAAAACTCAAACTTAACTGATGAGAGGAAGAGTAAAACTAAACACGATGAACACAGGAACACCAGACCTCTTCAAAATAAAACAGGAAACGTAAGACACAGACATGAAACACATGAAGGGCAAAGGAGACTTAACATGGGTGGAAGACACAAGGGGGAATCTAATGACAAAGAACTATAACAACCTAGGCATGATAAAAATGAACTTAGAAAACCTGAAGGGCTTAAACATAAAGTAAAACTCAAAAGACCCAGGATCGTGACAGGATCGGGACACTTTGAAGTCAAAGATTAAACCTTTGTTGTATTGCAGTTATGAGAGGGTCGAAATTTTCAGATAATCTGTCTTTTTGAATGATAATACCAAGATATTTAACCTTATCTTTAACAGGAGCACCTGATATAATAGGATCTGTGCAGAATGTGACAGGGAGACGTTCACATTTTGGAATGTTGAGCTTAAGAGAAGCTACTGAGGAATTATTGACGACTTTGAGAGCTTCATCAAAGTGTTGTGTCATCTCTCAGCTGAGTAATAGATAATGCTCTGCCAGCAACAGAGACCCAGTACACTGCTGTTTTTAACATGAATAGAGAGTAACTGCATAGGAAGAAGGAAAAGATCTGCAGCAATCGGGCAACCTCGACGGATCCCACGGTTGATATCAGATCTTTTCCTTGTACCATACGAGAGTTTGAGCTGTTTGCATCTGCTTACAAAGTTTGAATGGATTTTTTAAACATATTTCCAAAACCAAAAATATCAAGTGCTCTGAACATGGAGTCGAAACTTTATAAAAATCCAAAAAAAAACTATTATCTGTGATCTGAACGATCCAAAATATCAATTACCACAGCAAAATCTCCA